GAGATCTAACTTCCCCCTCCTCCTTTTAAAGCTTTCAGAACCACGACCATGACCACAATTAAACCGTCAATGGATTAATCCATTCACTTGAGCATGGTCCTCACAATCCAATCACCTCTTCAAGGCCCCACATTTTAGTTACCATATTAGGATTTCTCACCCTCTTAACATTGTCACAGTGTGGGGGTAAGTTTCTGATACTTGGACTTTGGGGGACACAATTCAATCCACAGCACTGGCCTAGTTTCTAATAGCTGTTGTTTGTCTCATCTGCACGGAGACACTTAGAGTGTTTGTTGCTGAGCATTTTTACCTTAATTGACCCCATCTGAATTGCATCCATTTTATTTCTGTTTAGTGACTAAGATATACCGCATAATAACAGTACTTACATGGCGGTTACCTTGGCACAAGTCTGCCAGATGCTTCCAATTAGAGTAATTGTATCTTAACTGCCTTTGAAAATGATTGTCAGATATGTGAGGTGTCTTTCCTGTCTTAGGAAGGACAGCATAGGTTGCCATCCGCTTCTGTGATTGAGGGTCTTGATGGGATGCAGTATCACAGAACAGCAAGTCCTCGTATTTTGAAGTGTCATGACAAGTTGCAAGATTGTCCTGAGGTGGGGAAAGTTTTCTTGTGGCATTGGGTAGGGAGTACCTTTCCACAGGGGTGGCTTAGATAGCTCTGGGGTTGAGGCATGTCTGCAAGAGAAATCGTTCTCCTGAGTGCAAGACCTCTTATTAGATTCATTTTATGGTTATGGCTGTGCAAAATAAATTATATATATATATCATGCATATAATATGTGTGTATACAGACATATGAGGGTACATCAAAAAGCTCATGGAAAAATAGAATTAAAGATAATATGAATCTTTCCATGAACTTTTAAAAGTACCTTTGTACATATATACATGTAAATACATACATACATATACATATATACACACATATATACATACACACATATTTATTCTCTCATCTTGGCAAGGACAGGATTTGCTGATTCTGCCAGATCTTACCCACTCTGTGCTCTTCACCTACCCTACTGTTCTACTTTTCTTGGATGCCAACCTGGGTTTCACGTCCCATCTCCATTTTTGTTTCTCCTCCTCAGCTGGATATATCCATGGAAAACACAGAGCGATTGCGCTGCCTGGTCTGGTTCATCTTCCTGTCTAGTAAAATGAAAATAGAATTTTAAGAACCCAGCCACAAATGTCTGTTTAATAATTCTTGATTGCTTCCCTGAGATGGCAATTTTAATATTTCTGAATATTCAATGCCTGGAAGCTAACACAAAATGACTATCTAAAACTGCCAGAAATTTGCTTCCTGCGGTTCTGAATGTGAAAGTGGAAACATGACTTTGGGGCAGCCTCCTTTCTTCTTTTGAGAGGGATCACTTTGGTGGGCCCTCTTGGTCATGCTTGCTTATATTAAGTAACTACTTGATGCCCTTGAGATAGCTCAGGAATTGGAAGAAATAATCTAAAAGCAAATACTTTATAACAGAATATTAAGGATCCTGTTTAATAATATAAAAGGCTGTCCCCAGATGTTCTGTGAGGAACATCTCTACAGACTTTTTTTTCCCTTTAATGAAGCATTTAACATTCTCCCAGCAGGCCTGGAAACAGGATTTGGGCATATTGAGTAAGGTCTGGGACCTAGGGAGACAAGACTTGAGAGAAAGGACTTATACTGGATGATAGGCTTTGAAGTGTCAACGCTTTAACCAGACAGGCTAGTGTTTGGGATCTATTTCAGGGGTGGGGGGGTGAAGACCTGCCACTGAGACACTAGTTAGTTTATGAATGTCTCTGGGCATTCTCTATGCACAACTCGGCCCATTTGTTGCTTACAATTTCTACTGCAGCTCTGTAGAAAACCAAGGGGCAATACCTTTTCTGTCTTCATGCAATCCTCAGGCTTACCTTCTTCACAGTAGCCCCATGGGCAGCCTCCTCTCTGGTCAGTTCCAGCTGTCCCCAGAGGGAATTCAGACAATAGTTGCATTAGTCAGAACTCTACACTGCAAGTGACAGGAACCCCAAAGCATACTAGGTATTTAGAAAGGGGCTTCTCTATCCCCGCAGCTTCTTTTGTGTGGGTATGAGCCTTATTTTTTTCATAGTGAGGATATATTTTCTCCACATAGTGGGTTCAAACTCACTTGAGTTCATGGCCTCCTAGCTCCTTGACTCCAATGGTTCCAAGTAGAAAAATTCATGGAAGAATTCTGATTGGCCCAGCCTAGATCACATGCACCCCTCTGGCCCAATCACTGAGAAGAAGGAAGTACTGTGATTGGTTGGATTTGGATCACATGGTCACTTCAATAGCCAGAGGGGTGAATTACTGCATTTGTGCCTTTACCAATTGGATGCATACCTGCCTGCTTTTCAACTCTTACCTCGCTGAGTAAGGATGTGTCTGGCCACCAGCACTTGCTCTGCCCGTGAACATGGCAGTTTGCAAGTGCTGAGGAATTCATGTCTCCTTGAAGCAGCCCTCAACCAATGACTGATGGGAGTTGGTGTATAAATACTAAAGGGCTCCCTTGCTCTTGGGTGACAATTTTGAGGCATACATTCAATACCATTTTCCAGAATTCCAGAATGGGATTAAACTCCAGTTCACCACAGTTGCAGCTTGTTTGGCAGTGCACTCTTTATTTGCTTCTTTTTTACTAAAGGGCTCCCTTGCTCTTGGGTGACAATTTTGAGGCATACATTCAATACCATTTTCCACAATTCCAGAATGGGATTAAACTCCAGTTCACCACAGTTGCAGCTTGTTTGGCAGTGCACTCTTTATTTGCTTCTTTTTTTTCCCTGTCTTGGTACCCCACCCTTTTGCCACAAGTATTTCTTGAGATCACCTCCCAAATATGCTTGCTGTTGAGTCCTTATCTTAATGACTTCTGGGGAAACCCAAACTAAGACAATTACTGTGATTGGCACCTCATCACATGACTCCAATGACGCTGGAACAGTGTACCAAAGGAAGTGGTGATTTGAATAAACAAAAACAGTAGCTATCTACTAAGAAGTATGTCATGAAAAACAAACACACATGCAGAGCAGCAAACAATGATAACTTACAGTAAATATTATAGGAAGAATAAAGGAGCCACATAACGACAAGATCACAGGTAAAGTCTAGTTGTCGAACTATGGCCCTTGTGCCAAATCTGATGTCACCTGTTTTTGTAAATAAAGTTTTATTGGAACACAGCCATGTTTATTCATTTACGTAATGTCTAGTGCTGCTTTCATGCTACAATGGCAAAGTTGAATAGTTGCAACAGAGACTGTATGGCGTGCAAAGCCTAAAGTATTTGTGATCTGGCCCCTTACAGAAAGTCTGCTGATTCCTGCTCTAAACTTGTCGCAATGCATGTGAACTCTGGAGTATACACCATTCTATAAAGTTATCCCTACCTCCAGGCAAGGGGCTGGTCTTTGTGCCTTAGTGTCAGCATGGCATTGGTAGCTGACCACGCCAGGCATTGAGGCTGAGGTGGCTCCATCAGCTGAGAGCAACCCTCTGGATGCCAGGGGCAGCTGTGAACTGTTAGCAGCCAACATTCCCAGCAGCTGAGAAATGGGTGCATATGTCAGGTAACGGGGACCTTCCAAGTAACTGCCAGCATCTACTGCAATGTGTACCTGGATCGACACATGTGCCTCATGTAGCTGGAGAGAACCCCTATTTCCTGCCCAACTGAGTCTTCATTATCTCACCTGGACTCTCTGTCTCCCATTTCACTCTTGCCTCCTATCCATCCATCCCATCACTCTCAGGGTGAAGATGGGAACCCTTAACAAGTTCTTCTAGGTCCCGCCAGCCTCTCCAGCCCCACCTTGTTTTACTTTCCTCACACTGTATTCTCCAGCCACATACAGCTTGAGGCCAGGGGCGTTCTTTCAGTTCCTGAGCACACCGGGTTCCCTCCTCCTTCACGCTATCGCTCGTGCTGTCTCCTCTGCCTGGAACACACTCTTTGTACCTTCTGTCTTCCACCATGCTTCTTGAACCTCTCTCCCTGTGAATCTTATCCACCTTCAGTAGCCAATATTCACTTTGTATGCCTTTACATATTTTTTTTCTGCCTTGTGCAAACCACAGCACACAAAAAATATGCATAGATTTTCTTTTCTTTAACAAAAATGCTACATTTTTTGTATTACTTTGAAGCTAGCTTCTCCCCCTTAACAGTACAAACCATATGAAACTATCCAGTTTGATGTATATAGAATTAATTCATTTTTTTCTAACAGTCACATGATATTCCATCATATGTATGTACATCCTGTGTATTACACTAATTTAAGAATTTTCATATTGGTAGGAATTCAGATTGTTTCTGTGTGTTTTTTTCATTTTTATGAACAATCATGCAAAAAACATCTCTGGACAAATATTTTTACATTTTGATGCTTATATCTGCATAAGCTCAATCCCTAGAAGTGGCATTGTGTGATCAACATATACCTGCACTTTCAATTTCAGTATATAGTGTCAGATTGTTTCCTGCAAAGTAGCAAATTGCACATCCACCAGCAGCTTATGAGGCTTCCCAGATCCCAACATCTTTGCAACCAGTCTGTCAATACTTTTAATGTTTGCCAATCTCCTGGCAAAGGACTGGCTTCTCATTTTTCTTCTGACTTGCATTTCCTTGACTATTATTAAGGCTATAACATCTATATCTTTTTTATACGTGTATCTTTTTGATAACAAAAATAGCCCTTCCACTCATAGGACCTTAACATGTTAATTTAGGGGGCAGGTGGAGACATTCTGAACACATCCTTTGCCCTTTGAGGTGATATCAAAAGAACACCCATCTGTCCTCAATTGCTCTCCAATGGAGATTCTGGAGTCAGTTGTTTCCTGTGCATCTGCACTCTCTCCGGATGTAGTGATGTTGGAGTGGGTAAAGTTTCTGCCCTATCTGTGACCACCTTTCTCTGTCTTTTTACTTTCAGATGCCACCCAGATGAACAATGCGGTGCCCACCTCCCCTCTCCTCCAGCAGATGGGCCATCCACATTCATACCCCAATCTGGGCCAGATCTCTAACCCCTACGAACAGCAGCCACCGGGCAAAGAACTCAACAAGTACGCCTCCCTGAAGGCCGTCGGTAAGGGCCCCTTGAACGGATCTGTTTTCTTTCTCCTCTCTCTGCTCTCCTTCGCTGCTCCTTCTAGATATCTTTCTCTGCAACATTTTTTCTATTCCTTTTTCTGTCTCTCCCTTTTTTCTTATCTCTCTTTGTTTCTGCCTCTATCTCTCTTTTTCTCTATCTCTGTCTTTCTGTCTCTGTCTCTTTTTCTCTCTTTGGCTCTTTTTGTCTGTATTTCTATTTGTATATCTATCTACATATGTATCAATCATATTCTGGGTCTGTATCTGGGACCCAGGTTACTAAGGATCAGAGCTCCTCCGCTGCTGTCTGTGATCCAGATCAAGTCCTACCTTGTTGTGTGGGGCAGGGTGGTTGCGTGAGGGGCAACTGTGGGGTGAAGGCTATTTCCTGGGAGAAGGACTTGGATGCTAACTAGATCCATCTGACACTTCAACCCCTTCGTCATCCCCTATCTGCTCTAGTGAATCCTCAGGGAACCTCGGCACAGAAGCCAGGTCTCTCAGTCTCAGGAATGCCTTGCCCTTTAGTGGGTAACACGCTTCATCCACACAGTCCCTCTCATTGCCGAGAAGTCAGTAAATAATGCACATTCCTACCCCAGGCAGCTTCTGCTCTTCAGGATGTGCCTATACACTGGGGCAGGCAGCCTGGTGCTACTACTAACTGAGTTCTTACCAAGTGTGAAACACTGCCTTAGTCCCTTAACACACACACTCATTTTCTCACAGCAATCTAAAGAGCAAGGCACAATTACTACCCCAATGTCAGGTTAGGAAGTTGAGACTCTAAGAGGCTAATTAAACTTGCCCCAAACTAAGCAGCGGTAGGTGACAGAGCTAATTGAACCTGTGTTTTTATCAGTCCAGAGCCAATGTTTCCACTACTTCCCCGGTTCTCCAGTCCATTCCCCTACTCCTGCATGAGAGAATGTGACACAGTAACCCTGACAGTGACCAGGGTCCTGAACAGTTTGCTTCTAGAAGAGTTCTATTGGATAGAAGCAACAGCCATAGCAAAGTTAGCGAGTCCTGAGTCCTGATTGGCGGTGGCAACCTCAGGTTTCCCTAAGCCAGTAGTTCTCCCACGCAAATGCACGTTACTAGACTTAGATGGAGAGCAGGTGGGACGCACTGATGCCACAGTCTCATCCTAGAGATTTTAATTGAATTGGTTGAGGATAGGGTTCACACATGGGCATTTTCAAAGAGCTCTCCAGATGTTTATAACCTGAAGCCAGGGCTGAAAGCCATTGATGAAAACCATTTCATCAGCCCAACATCCAGAAAAACTGAACCCCATCTAAAGTGCTTGCTCTGAACTTTCTCTTAAACTCTATCTTTTCTCTCTACATTCCCGTGCATTCTTAGTACAGGGGGAAATTTCTCTCCTTTCCTTATCACTGTGTCCTGTGAGTTCGGTTTTTCCTCCCTGTCTCAGAGGAGGGATTTCCAAGCCAGGCTTTCCACTGAACCTGTCCCTTCTCTGAGTTTATTCCTTAGAGAGCTGGAAAGAGTCTTGGGCAACACTTAACCCTTCTTTAGGCCTCAGTCTTCTAATCTGTGAAATGGGCATAAAGGTGCTTGTGAGAGTAAAACAAAATGACTCATATTATGGCCTAGTAAAGAATATTCTTTCCACATATATTACACATATATTATCTCCCTTCTCCAGAGCTCCACTGTCTTGTTACTAATATCTCCATGGGTGAATCGTTTTCTGATTCCCGTCTCATAACATGCTCAGATTTCATAGGAAGGGCTTCTTTTTAAGTGTCTTTAAACATTCTCCTTTTCAAGTATGAAATCCTGTCTTTCCTGGCAGAATTGACTGTCAGAAGCCCCAAAGTAAAATGAAACAATTCACTTTGAGAGAGATTCTGTTTTATTGGTAAAAGCTCTTTAGGTATTCTAAGATTTATTTATTTATTCATTCCCACATACTTTTGGTTCCCGGAAAACTTTGGGCAGGCAGAAGACCCCACAGACCATGTACTTTCCTTTATTATCCACTGCTTATCTTCTTTTCTGTCCCCGCTGCCAAGCCGCTCATTAGAGATGGGATGGGAGATAGTTGCTGATTGATGCCGGTATGAAATATCCTAATTCTTTTATAAACTAGCACCAGAACCCCCTGTGCATGTCTGTGATGCTTGTGGTAACCATAGTTTACAAACATCAGATTCACAAAACAAGTGTAGCATAGGGCCAGGCCCATACTAGGTGCTAAGTGTTTGTACCAGAAGTCTATCTTTAGAAATTCACGTTCCCCAGTCTCCTAGGACTCCCAGATGGAATCACTCAAACAGGGGTTGAGCCAAATTTATGATATCAAGGTTGTACAGATTAACACAGGCTTTTCTAAATCTGAAGACCTGTAAGACCTTATATACTAGTTACCCATGTTTCATGTTGAATTTCTATGCCCCACTCAATTCCTTGTGCCCCTTGACCGTAGATTCCCTCTATTCCATGGTGCATGTTTGCACAGCATATGCACCCTAAGCATGTTCAAATATACTCAGATATTACTAACAGGGGATGAGGGCTGTTGCCTAGGAGAATGAGCGTTAGGGTGTCTTCACCAACATAACTGCGGAAGCCTTTAAACACTATCTGGTAGAGTTCCTTTGCTTCCGAGCCTCGCAGTTAGATGATAAACAGTGTCTGCTGTTATATTTGATTCCTCTCTAGACGCAAAAAAAAAGAAAAAAAACCCACATCAGCTTAGATACCTTTCTATTTTTGAACTGGCCACACTATTCTATGCAACTCATTTCTTCAACTTAGTCTCAGAGTCTCCCTCCCCAACACCCCGTAGCTCTCTGGGAAAATAACACACGGATATTCCAACATCCTTGATTCTCTGCAGGATTTATACAGGGCTCTTATATATGCAAATGTCTGCAGTGAATTTGGAACTAAATTTGCAATATAAAACTTATTTGACACTCTTTGGGTAACCCTTTGTTTCACAAATCAGGAACTCCCGAAATGTTTATTGAGTGAATAAATGAATGAGCTCGTTTTTGACAAGAATCAAGAATAGCTTGGTTGTAAGGAAGCACCTTTATATCTCCTAGAAAACCCTGAAGGATCTCACTTGAGGAACCCTCCCAGATCCTGAATATGGCTGATGTGCCCCACTTCTTTATTCTTCTTTCTGACTGCTGTGGGAGTTCACAAGTGCTCCCGGTCTCTAGTGAATAGAAGGACAGTTTGGAGCAGACTGAGGGACTGCTTGACCCAGTCAGTCTCCCAGGAGTTCAGCATCTGCCTGCACAAATGAAATGCAAATCCCATAATAAATGTTCTTTCAAGAGTTCTTTATTAAGGCATAATGTGATCATGGTGTGAATGATGAAATGCATTTCATTAATGAAATCATTACCACCCAGGAGAGAAGTTGTTTAAAAAATGGTTTGCTGTTGAAAACTCAGCAAACTCTGATAACCAGAGTCATTTTCTAAAAAATTTTAATCCAGTGAATAAGGGGAGGGTTAGGCAACCTTCAGGGTTAACTGCAAAGTTCAAAAATGCCTCTGGAAAATAAATTTCTCTTGGAGGCTTTAATAGCCAGATCATCAGGTGCGTGATCAGAGGCTTCATCTTGGCCCCGGGTTTCACCTTACTTAGCTGTATGACTTTGAGCCGGTCACTGAAACTCTTGAACAGCTGCTTGTTCTGGTGAAAAATGAGGAAGCTGAACTATACAGTCTCAAAGTCCCATTCTAATTTTAAAATGAGAAGATTAAATAATTTCACTCATTCTAATTAGAATACCTGTGGGCCATTAAACATGCACCATTCATTCACTGCCAATTCAGGGGAAAGAAACGGTTTGAAAAAAGATGGTAACTCTTGGTTGTTCTGTAGACAAATCCTCACCAAACCTGCCTTCCTTTCTATTGTATTTTTTTAATTCTATTTTTGTTTGCTTGTTGAAATTACCCTCATTTACGTTTAAAGAGAGCTCTTTTCTCTCTACAATTCAGGCACTTGGGCATGTACTATCTGAGCATGTGACTATAGAATGGTCTCTGTTCCCAAGTGATTCACTGCCCAGCTATTGGCAAAAGATTAGCACACACTAGGGAAATGTGAGGGACTAAGCCATATAGGACTCTGTTCAAGAAGGGGTAATAGGGTTGAATTATCATTCATTCAATTCACTCATTGTCCAAACATTTAGTCTGGTGTCCCTTGACTGCAGGTTACATTGAGCTATAGAACAAGTTTATCCCATTTGTTGATGTATCCTCAGCACCTAGCACCATGTGGGTAAAGCCAATGAATAACACCACGTGGTAGGCACCACATCAAGTCAGGAGCCTGAGATGATCAGCAAGAAGGCAGAATGTAGCACAGCTCCTGGAATTGGTCAGGACTGAGTTTGAGACCTAGCTCAGACATTTATCAAGTAATTGCAGGAATTACTTAACCTCCTCAGGTCTCAGTTTCCCCATCTGTAAAACAGAGATAATAATAAACACACGGCTAATGGCTTGGAAGATTCAATGATAGAGCAAGTAAAATGCTGAGGCTGGCACATAGTCAGCCCTCAGTGAATGCTGCAGCATATTAATCCCAGACCAGGGTCATCTGATGGCCATATTCTTCCTCTAATCTCCAACATACATTAATTAATATGCAATTGTCCAAATTTCATTTTGAGGGAGGGAGAATTGGGTCTGTATTCTTCACTCCAGTATGATGGGAAAGACATACATGAAAATTAACTCACATTTGGGATCTGATAAAAACAAACAACCAAACAACAAATGGGTTTTCTGAGCTGTCCTAAGGACCAGCAAAGATTTAGCCCAAACCTCCTCTCTTTCCCCATCCATAGTCTGGACAATAAAGTTTGATGCCATCAAAGAAAGATTCAGTTTCTCTCATTTGACTCTTCTTATTAAGGCATAAATATGGGTTTAAACGTTTTAGAAACATTTCCCACCGAGGCTGAAGTCAAGAAGTATGTCTTGTTATAGACTGAGTTAAAATGTAACCTGAAAATTCAGTTAGGCACACAAGTTCCCTGGCCTGAGCTGTCCATGCGATAGGTGGTTACAGTGTAAAAACCTACCCCTGTGATTCTTGATAGGTCCATGTTTGCAAGTCAGAAGTATTTGCGAAAATAGCCCTAAGGGTCACCTGATAGTTCAGAGAGGGATGACTCCTGCCTCCAGAACGGAGAAAAGACCACCCTTTAATGTAGTTCCAAATGAGCATTGCAAACAGAAAGTTGCCTGCACCTTGGCATTTATCTCCCTGTTGGCTCCTTGTCCAGTTTTTCCTCTAGGTTTCTGAAGGTTCAGAGAGGGATGACTCCTGCCTCCAGAACGGAGAAAAGACCACCCTTTAATGTAGTTCCGAATGAGCATTGCAAACAGAAAGTTGCCTGCACCTTGGCATTTATCTCCCTGTTGGCTCCTTGTCCAGTTTTTCCTCTAGGTTTCTGAAAACCGAATTCCTAGGCTACCAAAGGAGCCTGACCATGTGCCCTTTAGATGGCTCAGTGCAACCTGCCACCCAGTATAAGAAAGAGACAGGATGCACCAGCATCATTGATACAGTATCATCTGCCTTCATTTTGAATTCAAAATTTTACTTTTAAGAAAATATTTTCTCTGTTGCTATCTGAAAAATGATTAACTATTTTGACAGAATCACATTACATTTTCCCACCAGCATCATTGATACAGTATCATCTGCCTTCATTTTGAATTCAAAATTTTACTTTTAAGGAAATATTTTCTCTGTTGCTATCTGAAAAATGATTAACTATTTTGACAGAATCACATTATATTTTCTGATAGCACTTTTTAAATCCACAGCAACAATGCATTTCGATGTGGCAGGAACTACCTCTTCACTCTTGCTGTAGGAATTATGCATGAAAACCGTAAGAGATGTATGAGTCTCTCAGCTGTGGGTTGATCTCTACTAGTTTAATTTTTTTTAAGTTAGGGTAAATCAGGATAATTACTATATTTATCATTATACAATGTGATCATTTTTTGTGGCCCTTTACCAGTTTCTCACAAACCCCCTCCCCCTTTCTCATCTCTGCTGGCCTCAGTTCCATTCTCTCCTTTTGAAAGTTCAACAAATTATTGTGATTGTTATATCTTTCTTTCTTTTTTATTTATTTGTTTATTTTTTAGCACATATTGCACACAGGTATTGATATTCAACGCTGTACGCCACAGATATGTACAACCAATTCACTGAACTCACAAACAGCACACATCTGAAGGAGGCAGTAGTCCCAACGTTTTGCAGATGGGGAAACTGAGGCTCAGTATAGTTAAATACTTTTCCCAGAGTCACACTGTTAGTAAATGGCAGATCCAAGACTCATTCTAGATTGCCTGACTCAAATCCTGTGTTCTTCCCATGAAACAATGAATGCTGTCTTTCCCAGAGCAATTTTTGGCACCTGAAGGATGGACATAACCAGGCAAAAGAAAGTCTGGTGACACCATTCTCCTTCTCCCCACCCACCCCCCTTCTTTTAGGGTAGGGGGTTTACTAAGGTACTAATTGTTTTTCTTTGTTTGGAAGTGAAATGTTTCCCATGACGCTGAGTATAACTGAAGTGTAACATAGTTGAGGTATACTATACTATTCACATGCAGTGAGATACACAGAAGTGTGATTATTGAAAAAAATGCATACATTTGGGTCACCAACATCCCAATAAAGATAAAAGATATTTTCATAATACTGAAAGTTCCCTCATATATCCCCTTCCTTTCAATACCTTAGGTCCATCCCCTTTTAATAAGCATTTAATTTTTCACCCAACCAATATTTATTTCATGTCCACTAATGCTGCCATGTCCAAAGTGGGGACTTAACTACATGTTTGGTAGCCTGTGTGACATCTCATTAAGTGCTCTTATTGTCAATGGATTTATGAAAGAAAACTTGTTACTGCCTTGTCAAAGTTAAGCCCTGTCTTCGGTTCTGGGGACAGAGGTGACAACGGAGTGCTTCCTGCCTTCAAGGCCAACAGTGATGGATTTGATTTGGGGATAACATGGCTTCCTTGGAACCAGTGACTCAGTGGCTGGGTCATCCTTGTGTCCACCCACACAGGAAGTTCTGGGGCTGCATTGCATCACTATTTGCAGATGACCCTGGCTCCGAGGGAGAGGGAACACCAGTCAACCCATACAGGTCTCACTTAATGGTAACTCCCTCACCCTCCCTCTGTCACTCCAGTTTCCCCTCTGTTGTGAGTGATGAGGGTGGAGGGTTCAGATCTGCTAGGGGAACATGGCAATTCGAGCGTCCTTTGACATGCCTGGGAAGCCAACCAGAAATGTTTAAATGGGGCTGGAGCTGTGCTCTGTAATCATCCAGATCACAGACTGTTCCCTGCGTCTGCTCACAGCTGGCAACCTGATATGTCTCTGGAAATTGTGTAGATATGTTGAGGACTTGGTCTTTCCAGGTAGATTCCTAAGAAAGGAAAGGAGAGCTAGTAGCATACTGTGATTGGTCAGGCCTCCAGCCAATGGCGAGAGGCCTCACGAGTAGGTTTGCCTTGCTTTAAGTAAAACCCAATCTTAACAGAGGACTGTCAAGAAAGGGGTGGGGTACAGCCGTGGTCATTCCTGTCATCCTTTATTTTATGAAAGGAGTCACCATGGGATGCTGTTAATAATAGGAGATCCCCCCAGGGCTCATTTGGTACATCTGAAAGATAATTCAATTTGGAGAAACTGATTTATAATGAAAATTTCAGGGACACATCTGTTCTGTAAAGCAATGTATTACTCATTATGGGATTCTCAGATAACAGGCTTGATCCCTTTAGTGTTCAGGGGAATTTCCATACTTTAGAGTGACCCTGTAGAGAAAACTGAATTCATTCATTTTTCTCTATTCATTCAATATTTTTCAAACACAGACTATGTGCTAGGCACAGCAGTGAGGCAGTTTCTACCCCGAAGGGCCTGCCTCCCGGCATGTAAAGTTACAGTCAGCAGAGCCTGTCCAAACCTTGAATCTGGAGCTAATACTGTGCCCCTTTTCAGGAGGCGGATTGCAATAAAACAGGATCAAACTTCATCTCTTGTGATCAGAGTGTAGTCATTGGCCAAAGTGACCTCATGTAACTCAAATTTTCCTTTCTTTCACAATGAGTTGAAATCTAGAGCCAGATTTACTGCTAAGAATTCTCTCTCTACCTTACATAACTGCAAATATGTAGGCCTTTTTCAGGGTACTTCTTTTGATCTTCTGTTGGGCGTAAACTTGATGCTACTTCAAGGCCTTGCAGAAAGAGGTACACACATGGTTACATTTTCACACCGGGTCACCCTCCCTATCCCCTGGGTCCCCTGAGGCCTGCCCCCCTTGGAGGCTGCAGCTGGGGCAGCCAGCAGCACCCGGGTGTGCGGGCACCGTGAACACAGTATGCCGGCAAGTGGATCAGCATCTCTCAATTGTTATTTTTTTAGGAAGTTCTGATGGTGACTGGGCAGTGGCGACACTTAAGTCACCAAAAGGTACCGTATGGCTTTTTCTAGCTGTCTTGTCCAGGTGTTGTCAAATCTAACATTAAATTTAAAAGGAACAGACTGTTCTGGTGTCTGTGTGTCACCCATGCACACATGCGTCCACCATGGGTGGCACCTACAAGTCTGTCTGAGTTCCAGTGTGTAGGTGTTGTGTGTTGGGGGAGAGGGGCTGGGGATGGTGTGTCTGTGCTTGGGGCAATTGTTGGACAATGTCCTACCCCTCACTTTCCAATATTGGTTGCCTGAAGGAAAATACCACTACCAGGAAACAATCCCAGGTAAGACATCCAGGAATTTTTTTTTTTCCTAAGAAAACTACAAAGGCAAAATAGCAAAACACAAAGTAAATTAATGTGGGTTAAAGCATACCACTTCCAAGGGAGAGATAGACACAATCAAGTCTTGGGAATGATTAGCCTTTTAGGGAACACAGCACTATTTTCAACTTTCCTGAGGCAGCGTGGTGAGCAGCGAGCATTAAGGAGTTGGCCAACTTGAATCTGTGAGTTAACTAGATGGGTAACCGGGCCAGGCAGTAACTATAGTTAATTTGTAAACTCCCTACCACGTGCCGGATAGAGTGCCGGCTCTTTATATCCATTTTATCGTTTAATTCTCCAATGACCCAGCTGGGTAAGTACTGTCATTCCCATTCAGAGATGAGGACACACGTGTCTGAGTGAGGATGAGTCTCTTACTGGAAGTCAATAGCTGCCGAGTGGTAGGGCTGGAGCTTGAGCCCAGGTCGTTTAATTCTCCAATGACCCAGCTGGGTAAGTACTGTCATTCCCATTCAGAGATGAGGACACGTGTCTGAGTGAGGATGAGTCTCTTACTGGAAGTCAATAGCTGCTGAGTGGTAGGGCTGGAGCTTGAGCCCAGGTCTGTCTGACTCTAATGCCTCAGCTGTTTCTCGCTGGGTGGGATGGGAGCAGCTCTTTTCAGAACAGACCAGAAACGCTGTTCTCGTCTGTCTCCACTTCTTATACTTTGTTGGATTTGGTGGCGGGAAGGATGTAGCTGACCCAAGGAGGTGGAGGTAGAACTCTTTAATGACCTTGAACTAGGGAGATTAGGAAACTGCAGGGATCCAGACAGCGTACTGCCATGGCCATTTTTGCCTTCTCAAAAGATTGTTCTGGATTTTAAGTGGAGACTGCATTAAGGGAGGATGGATTGAAGTTGGGAACATCCACTGGCAGGTGGGCAGTGACCTGCACTGGGGTGGGCAGAGGACAGAGAGAAGAAAATGAAGTGGGAAGAGAACTGAGAAGCTGCAGAATGCAGAGCGTGAGCAGACGCGAGGGGGGAGGAGGGAGTGTGGACCAAACTGGAGCACACATCAGCGTCATCTGGAGAGTTGCTGAAACCCACATTCCTGGGCCCCACCTGGAGCTTCTGATCCACTAGGCTTTGGGTGGGGCTCAGGAGTTGAATTGCTCACAGGTCCCCAGGTGATGATGCTGCTACTTGTCTGAATCACACTTTGAAAACTACTGCAGTAAGAGAAATCTTGCTGGAAAATGAAGATTCTTTGATTAGTCCTCCAGATATATTTCAGTGGGCGGAAGGTTCTGAACAGGGGGGTTTGACCAGGGTCCCAGAGGCTCAGAAACAACCTGGGCTCTGGGTGTATGTGGGGGTGGGGGTGGAGGTGGGGAGGCACAGCGTATACCATATTGTGAAAAAGAGCTTTGGATCCGTGTGTTTTGAATCCCCTGGCTATCCAGTTGTTGCCTTGAGAGAGGCAGAGTTTTGGGTCTTGCATTAGATAATAACCGTTCACATGTCAAAGTCCATTTTTAGAAATGCAAACAATTTGGAACATGACAGACCTACTAATTTGAGCCATAAACTTTTTTTTCCCCCTCTCCTGTGAAAAACAAAGCCATTATGAACCTGTGACAGCATTTGGAGGCAATCTGCATCCTGTCTTTCTATCAGCCTCTTGTTCTCTGATGCATTTAGAAAATATTTCAGGACAGGTCAAAAGCATGGGCTTGGAAGCTGTTTTCTTCCCTAACCAGGCTAACTTACCTGTGCTGCTAAGTGCATCTTTATTTATCCTGCCTTATCTGGGGAAGGGAAAAGGGGGTCCCAAAGAGGGTCAGGCCCAAGTTCCTCTGGAGTCACCGGTCTGCCTCTAGTGTTCTCTGCTCAACTTCCAGACTCAGAGTCTACATGAGGCACAATAACAAGGTTGGGGGGGGGTTGTAAGACCCCACTTCCCACATTCTACCACCTTCTGAAAAGGGAGAGGCAACTAGGCGTGATGGGCTGAGGCTCAGACGTACCTGGGTTCCAATCCTGGCCCCATCATATGCTAGTCTTGTTATCTTCAACAAGTCATTCAACCTCTCTGAGCCCCTATTTTCTGATCTGCAAAATGGAGACAATTACATCACTTACCTCCTAGGTTGTTGTGAAGATGAGGTAACATTTAAAACGTGTGTCATAGTATATGGAAAGTGATAAATGCAGGCAGGTCATTACTGGTATTATCATTACTATTATTAACAGGTGAGCAAAATCCTGTGGCTCTGAAAAATCCCACGGTCAGAAAAACTTTTAAACTCTGTTTAACCCATTATTTCCCAGACAGTTGTGACATCTGATCTCTTTTCTCTTAAGGGAAACCAGTTAACATCTTGGTATTCAGTCACATGAATGTTCCTGGGAACCCACGCTGGGAACACAGGGCATGGACAGAGAAGTAGGTGGTGTTGGTGGTGGGGTGTCATCTGGGGAGGTTGGATAAGGAAGGGATAGATGTGAGGGAGAAAGGACAGTGTCCCTGAAAATTCAAGTTTTCTGCTGTTATCTGCAATGACTATGACTCACTTTGGAGAGGAACCGTATCTGCCAGGACAGGAAGTGGCAAACATCATGCTCATTTTTCAGTACTTAGAGCTTCCCATGCAAGCCGCCCCCTAGTGGTTGCTGCTGTTGACCTACCCACGACTAGCCTTGGGAACACCTGTCGTATTTTTTAAAAATCCACTGCAAGGCGACATCACCTCAAGCCCAGAGTGCTGCCCTAATCAAGGTGAAGCCATGTCCTTGAAAATCTGTTTATTTTGCAAAAGGAATCTGAACCTGCCCTGTCCCTAAGTCCAGTGCTACATTGAAGCATTGAACTCAGTGGAAACTGCCAACATAGTACTGTGAATTAATTGCTGTGATTTTGATTGAAATCAGCCTGTGTGCTCTTGCCCAGGCTGCTCCCATGCCCCCAAATTTCATTTTACCATTATCTTAATAGGTAATCAGAGTATCCACTCTCCATCAGGTTTGAGAGAGTAACTGTATTAGACAATACAAGTAAATTTCTTAGCACAGGACATGGTATGTAGTGGGTACTAGATAAGTGTAAAAGAGGCCTGTACCACAAAGTCCCCAGTCACCTCTGCCTTAGAGATCACTTGTAGTCACTGTGATTGAGTCTTTCAGAAAGAAATACATTTCACTCAACCTTTTTGCTTTTACTGAGGAGGAATCTGGGTCCCCTGAGATAACTGAGGCTGCCTAAAGTCACATATGAAAATTACATCACTGCAGGACCAGGACCGAGACCTCAAAGAACGGCTTAAGGACGTGACCCAGAATTGCTGGAGATTTTTGGGAATCTGGGTCCCCTGAGATAACTGAGGCTGCCTAAAGTCACATATGAAAATTACATCACTACAGGACCAGGACCGAGACCTCAAAGAACGGCTTAAGGACGTGACCCAGAATTGCTGGAGATTTTTCTTACAAATGTAAATCCTGGGCCCACCCACTCCTAAGGATCTGGAACCTCTGAGTGTGGGGTCCCTTTTTTAAATATACCTCTTGGGTGGTTCTTACGTACACTGATGTTTAGACTTACCTTTTTCAAAGACCCAACCCAAGTACAAACACAATTTGCCCTAGGACACCAATGTTCACATGCCAGCATCTCTTCCAACATGAGAATTTTTGCTGTTTTCTGAAATGAAACACTTTTCTTAGTTTGGGTTTGAGCCGAGCTACAGCCAGAAGGTAAGAGTATTGGAGGGAGATAGTCTTGGATTTGGTTTCTTGCTCTGCCGCTCATTAGCCAAATTATTCAACCTCTCCGGGCCTTTGTTCCATCATTTGTCACATGGGAAGGATGATATTCCCTTGTCTCCTTTCTTTAAGAAGGTTTAAATGAGATAATGTAGGTGAAATGGCTAAAACAGTGTCTAGCCCATGGTAGGTACTCAAATCAACGCTAGTTCGTTCGTTCTTCTGAGAAAATTGATGTAGCCCAAGGAGAAATGTTCGTCCAAGAGACACCACAGAAGGCACAAAGCAGTAGGAAATGTGTAATTGGGTTGCAGTTCTGCTGGAGTATGGAGTGCACATGTCCTGTAGACCATCCTGGGGCACACTCACCTAAAGGCAGCCTTAAAACATTACTTCATGAAATTCAGGCTTTTGCAGTTTCCTGATGTGGGTTATTGGTTTGGTAGTGAGCAGAGTACAGAGCAGGTGGAGGATGTGGTGGTGGTGGGGGGGATACGAAGTGATGTTTTTTAGTAAAAATCAAATCCCACCTGATCCTGAGTTCAGCCCCTTTTGAAAAGCACACAGCAAGCACTGGATTTTTGATGAGCTTCCTTGAGAACCCAGAGGCTTAAAATGAACAGGTGGAGAGGGTTTTCTGATTTTCAGAAAGTGCCATTGCATCAAGATTGTAGCAAATATTTACTAGTTTGAAAGTATGTCCCTCTGAGGCTAAGACAACTAGATCCCATTCATTCCAAAGGCACCTTGCGTGATGCCCACAGTCCACAGTAGGCACTCATCATACATTTTGTTAATAAATTATTAAATAAATCTGGGCAGAGCATTTGAAGGGAATCTTGTCTATGAAGAATTGATTCCTGCTTTAATATATCATAGGATTCCAAATCTCATGATTATTGACTTTGGGAGGAAGCCACAGCAAAGTGGAAGACAGAGAGAAGGATGAAGAATTTTTA